GCGGTGGCTGGGAGCGGCCACTGCACTCCAGTCTGGGCACAGAGTGAGACTCCAACTCAAAAAACAAAAAACAAACAAACAAAAAAACAAATCTAGGAACTCTACTTCCTTAAATAATAGATTAATAAACTATCAGGTCAATTCATTTAACAAGTATAAGACCAAGCAGTGTACTTTACATCTGTGATCCCAGCACTTTGGGAGGCTGAGGCAGGAGGAATGCTTGAGTTCAAGACCAGCCTAGGCAACATAGTGAGACCCTGTCTCTATAAAAAAAAATTAGCCACATGTGGTGGCATGCATCAGATGGCTAGAAGGCTAAGGAGGGAGACAAGTTGAGCCCAGGCGGTAGAGGCTGCAGGAAGCTGTGATCATGCCACTGCACTTTCAGTGTGGGAGATAGTAAGACTCTGACTCAAAAGAACAAAAAAGCAAGCAACAAGTATAAAACTCTAGACAAAATATAAAAACCAAATTACCTATGACAGGGGTCAGTAAATGTTTTTCTAGAAGGATCAGATAGTAAACATTAGTAACTACTGATCTATGCATTTGTAGTACAAAGCAGCTACAGACAGTAAGGAAACAAACAGGCGTGGCTGTGTTCCCACAAGATTTTATTCACAAAAAACAGGCATGCTGTAGTTCACCAACTCTTGACCTGGAGACACTAGAGGGCGAGCAAAAGCAAGCAGATTCTAGGGGGGAGTTGAAATAAGTAAATTTCCTTTTTCTTAGCTTCTGGTCTGAGAGCAGGTCTGGGTCATAAAAACTGGCTAACACTCCAATTAAAAGTCCACATTCTTCTTGGGTTAACAACCAGAATAGAGAACCCAGGAAACTAGAGCAAGTAGGAGGTGAAGATAGAATACTATAAAGGAGAGAGCCACAGAGAGAGGACCCCAAATTCTCTGCATGAATACTGTGCAATTGTGTGCCTGATCCATGAACTGTGTGCACAGGGCAGACTCCAACAGTCCACAGATAAAGAACTGAATGAGATTATAGCTAGCACCAAAGAAATAAAGTCCGACAATTAGATCCCAAGTAAATTAACTGGCTGCTTTAAAAGAAAATGTATATGTGAATATTTACTGTGCCTGAACTACTTGTACAAACAATGTGGTTTAGGCTAACACACACTCTTCTGAGAGTCTGCAATTTTGGTACATGCAGGGCAGAGGGCACCTCACCTACATGTCACCTCTCACTAAAAACCTTAGGTGCAAACTCTAAAGAGCTTCTGTAGTAAGACAACCTCTACCTCTATCTCATATCATACACAAAATTACTCGGAGATGGATTATGTAAATATACATAAAAACTAAAACTTTGGAGCTTTTAGAGAAAAGTATGAGAGATTATCTTCATGATTTGGGATTAGGCAAACTTTTTTTTCATAGGAAGAGAGAACAATAATCATAAAAGGAAAACTGTCAAGGCCAAGCCCAGTGGTTCACATCTGTAATCCCAGCACTCTGGGAGGCCAAGGTGGGAGGATTGCTTGAGTCCAGAAATTTGAGACCAGCCTGGGAAACATAGTGAGGCCCTGTCTCTACAAAAAAAAATCAAAAAATTAGCCTGGCACAGTCGCATATGTCTGTAGTCTCAGTTACTAGGTTGGCTGAGGTAGATAGATAATTTGAGCCTAGGAATTTGAGGGAGCAGTGAGTCGTTATCATGCCACTGCACTCCAGCCTAGGTGACAGAGTGAGATCCTGAGTCAGAAAAAAACCTGACAAATCAGACATTAACTTTGTAAAATCTGCTCATCAAAATTATTACTAACAAAATGAATACGCCACAGACTAGGCGTATTTGTAAAACATAAATCTGTGCTGGGCTCGGTGGCTCGGCCTGGAATCCCACGCTTTGGGAGGCTGAAGTGAGTGGACTGCCTTTGCCCACAGCTTCAAGACCTGCCTGGGCAACTTGGCGAGACCTCATCTCTACAATAAAATTTTTAAAAAATTAGCCAGGCGTGGTAGTGCGTGCCTGTAGTTCCAGTTACTTGGAAGGCTGAGGCAGAAGGATCCCCAGAGCCTAGGAGGTCGAGGCTGCGGTGGCTGGGAGTGGCCACTGCACTCCAGTCTGGGCAACAGAGTGAGACTCCAACTCAAAAAAACAAAAGAAACATAAATCTGACCAAAGACAGGATTCTAGAAAAAAAAATGTGTGTGTGTGTATTCCAGCAACTCAATAATAAAAGATAATTCAGTTTTTTAAAAACAAGCAGGCCGGGCGTCGTGGCTCATGCCTATAATCCCAGCATTTTGGGATGCTGAGGTGAGAGGATTGCCTGAGTCCACGGGTTAGAAACCAGCCTGGGCAACTTGGCAAGATCTCATCTCTACAATAAATTTTTTAAAAAATTAGCCAGGCATGGTGGTGGATGCCTGTAGTTCCAGCTATTTGGAAGGTTGAGGCAGAAGGCTCACCTGAGCCCAGTAGGTTTGAGCTGCGGTGGCCATGAGTGTGCCACTGCACTCCAGCCTGGGTGACCGAATGAGACGCCAACTCAAAAATAAAAATAAGCAAAGGACTTGAACAGATATTTCACCAAAAAAGATATATGAGGGACCAATAAACTAATGAAAAAGTTGTCAGTGACATTAGCCAGTAGAGAGGTGCAAATTTAAACTACAATGAGATATCATGACACATTTATCAGCAGTGCTAAAATGTTAAAAACTAGTAACACCAAATATCAGCAAGTTGTGCAACGGCCAGCATTCTCAAACAGCATTGGTTTAAGTGTAAAATGAAAAAAAGGTTTACCAGTTCAAACTAAGTGTACCATCTACCCTATGCCTCAGTAATGTCAATCCTACCTAATAGAATTGGCATTGGAATATACAGGTTTTGTTTTGTTTTTTTTTTTGGAGTCAGAGTCTCACTGTCACCCGGGCTGGAGTGCAGTGGCACACTCAAGGCCACCACAGCCTCGACCTGCTGGACTCAGGCAATCCTTCCACCTCAGCCCTCCAAGTAGCTAAAACTACAGATCTGTGGCACTATACCAGGCTAATTTTTTTATTTATTGTAGAAACGAGGTCTCGTGAAGTTTCCCAGGATGGTCTTGAAACTGGGCTCAAGCAATCCTCTTGTCTCGGGCTCCCAAAGTGCTGGGATTACAGGTGAGAGCCATTGTGCCCAGCAGAATATACATGTTGTCTATGTCTATAGCATCCTGAATGTGCCTGATCTTGTCTGGAATATACAGGCTGAACATCCCTAATATAAAAATCCGAACTCCAAAATGCTCAAAACTCCAAACCTTTTTGAGCACCAACATGATGCTCAAAGGAAATGCTCATTGGAGCACTTGGATTTCAGAGTTTTAGATTAAGAATGCTCAACCAGTAAGTATAATTGTAAATCTTCCAAGATCAGGAAAAATCCAAACACTTCTGGTCCCACGCATCTCAGATAATCAATACTCAACCTCTAACACCTATTAAAAAGAGGATGAACTATTGATACACAATAATATCTCAAAATTATGCTGAGTGAAAGAAGTCTTACACAAAAGGTATATGCTATATGTGATTCCATTAATACAAAGTTCTACAACAGGAATATTAATATATTTTGGAGAATACAATACGTAATTAGTTACCTTGAGGGTAGAGGGTGAGTGCACAGAGTGGGAAGGGGCATAAGGGACAGAGATTTGTTTCCAAAGTCATATATATCAGTCAAAGCTTATCAAATAGTATACTTTAGATTTGTGCAATTCATGAAATGTAAATTTTATCTTAAAAGAAAAAGATGTCAGTAAATACTGAATTCTAGTTGATACATACTCTGCAATATTAAGATGTGTATTACTCTCTGTAACTAACTTTAAGTTTAATAGAAAAACGATGGATTAGATAAATAGATATGTAGACAGATATGTAATTAAACAAGTTTTTATAGTAAAATATTAACTGTAGAATCTATTAGTGATATGGGTGTTCATATAAAGCTGTCCCAATCTTTATTTTGAGCCTTTGCTTCTAAAAATATTAAAGAAAATAAACAATCTAAGTAGTATTCTCAAGGATAAAAAAGAAACTAAGACCATAAGACATGACTAAGGGCAATAGCTCTTTACAATATTTGATTTTGAGTTTTTACAAAGGAGTCTGTTTATTTTTAAAATACTTGACTTTTTGAATAAGTATACTATAAGGTAACAAAAAGAAGTTACTGTATAGGAGATCTAAAATTGTCACAAAGCACAGCATCATCCTAGGTAAATGTCTGCTTAGTTAATTAGAATAAAAATATCAAAAATATTTTTTTCGAGTATTTGGTGTATGCACTTAATTTTTTTTTTTTTTTTTTTGAGTTGGAGTCTCACTCTGTCGCCCAGACTGGAGTGCAGTGGCCGCTCCCGGCCACTGCAGCCTCGACCTGCAGTGACGGGCGATCCTTCTGCCTCAGGCTTCCGAGTAGCCGGAATTACAGACGTGCACTACCACGCCCAGCTAATTTTTTGATTTTATTGTAGAGATGAGGTCTCGCCTGCCCAGGCGGGTCTCGAACCCGCGGGCTCAGGCAATCCACTCACCTCAGCCTCCCATAGGTGCGGGATTACAGGCTGAGCCACCGAGACTGGCTGTACTTAATTTTTAAAACTACAATTTCTAAGAATCTGAGGTTGAAAAGGAAAGCTGGGGTCTGTGATCAGTATACAATCTTAAAATGGGAGTTCCAGGTCAGGCAGAGTAGCTCAAGCCTATAATCCCAGCATTTTGGAAGGCTGAGGCAGGAAGATTCCTTGAGTCCAGAAGTTCTAGACTAGCCTGGGCAACATGGCAAGACCCCATGTTAAAAAACAAAATCCTAAAAAACAAAAATACATTAAAAATTTTTTTTAAAGTAACATGAAAATTTCTATATATTTAAAAGATGCCCTAAAGGTCAATATCACCTTCCTAAGAAAAAATAGTTTATAAGCTTTTGAAAAATTCCTCAAGATACCATAATTTTTTGCTATTAAGGATATAATACTACTTATTTTGTGTACTTACTTGAGGAACATTACTGTCAACCCACTTGGAATTTGGTAAAATATCATCCCACAAAATCAGGCATCGAGCAAGTGTCTTAAAAATACAACAGAGATAAAATTAACTGGAGCAGGTAAAGTTCATGGATTGTATAACAATGGTAATATTAAACAGAACAATTTAAGAAACAGTTCTCAACTAATGACAATTTTGAAAAATATATACAAATGTGGGAGAGTTACATCCTGATAAACCTATCATAAATCAAAAATATCTTAAGTCAAAAACGCATTTAGTACACTTAGTCTACTGAACATCACAGCTTAGCCTAGCCTACCTTAATCGTGCTCAGACCATTTGTATTAGCCCACAGATGGGCAAAATCATCTGTAACACAGAACACTGTAAAGTGTCAGTCATTTATCCTCGTGACTGCAGAGTCGGCTAACTGGCAGCTACGGTGCTGCCCAGCATCATGAGAGAGTTATCAGACTCATATTGCTAGTCCAAGAAAAGATCAAAAGTCAAAATTTGAATACGTTTTCTATCGAAAGCTTATCACTTTCACACTATGGTTAAGTTGAAAAATCCTAAGCCAAACTATCCTAAGTTGGGAACCATCCGTAGTACCAACTACTTATTAAAATAAAAATGTTTAAATTAATAAAGAAAAACTAAAATTGAGTCTATCAGCATCAAAGTATAGAGGGTTGGAGAACTTTTAACATGCTTTGTGAAAGAAAAACCATATAATAAAGCTCTATCTACATTGCAATTTAAAGGCTTCCATATGCTAAGTTCAAAACATTAGGAGAAAAAAAGAACAGAGGAAAAATTTTAGGCAATTATGTCAAACTGTTGTTGTCATACTATATAATACCTTAACAGTATTACTGAATGCTAATAGTGATCTAAAAATGTAAAATAAAACAGTAATAAAGTCTCAGTCACATGATTGCTTTTTAGGAAGTTTTGAATAATAATGTGAGGAGGTGAAATGTCATTCCAAGTATACATCAATGTTGTAATCTTTCCTGGGATTCCTAAAGTTACTTTTGGGAAATTTCAAAAAAACACTGCCAATTAGACATACATGAATAATTAAAAAGTAAAAGGCTCTCTTGTAAAGACATTTATGTTTGCAAGCTAAATTTATGAATCACAAATAGACTCATCATGTTAACAGAAATGAACAATGACAAAGCACCATACCCTAAGCAAGAGAAATTCTGGCTTCACAAAGTCCAGCAAATACATGGTATCAGGAGCCCGCAGCCAGTCTGCAATGGACCTGTTGGTTGAGGACATCAGAGAGGAGTACTGCTCAAGACAATCAAGAATCTCAAGACATATTTCAAAATATTTCTTCCCATTCCACTACATTTCTTTTTTTCATAAACTTCACACCTTCAAACATAATATTTACTGTTTAACATAATATTATGTATATATGCATGTCTTACTATAACATAAGCTCCATGAGCACAGATATTTTTAGTTTTGTTTTATTCAATGAAATATTCCCAGTGCCAAGAAAGCACTGCCATATAGATTCAACTAATCACTAAGTGAATAAATAACCGCTATTAACCACCCTATTAATACCACACACATTCACTTTTTTCCAAGGGGAAAAATTTACAACACTGAAGTTCCTTGAGTCTTAGAATATTTTTATAATTAATAACTTAAAATATGACGTGTTGTCTCTTAGTCAAGTTACTCTTCTAAGCAAACTTGCAAGATGTTAAGAATAAATGCCAAAGGTCTACCTTCAAGTGTCAGCACTAAGTACAGCGAGTTGGGAAGGTGAACGATTTGGTCTTTGGGAAACCTCTTGAACTAGGCAGAACCATTTATATACACAGTAACCAAGAATAGACTAATGCTAAATATTTCTGGCTTAACCAGTCCTCACAATGATATGCAAAATTAATGAAAACAGCCGGGCTCGGTGGCTCAGCCTGTAATCCCGTGCCTTTGGGAGGCTGAGGTGAGTGGATTGCCTGAGCCCGCGAGTTCGAGACCCGCCTGGGCAGCGAGACCTCATCTCTACAGTAAATCAAAAAATCAGCCGGGCATGGTAGCGCATGCCTGTAATTCCGGCTACTTGGAAGGCTGAGGCGGAAGGATTGCCGGAGCCCAGCGGGCGAGGCTGCGGTGGCCGGGAGCGGCCACTGCACTCCAGTCTGGGCGACAGAGTGAGACTCCAACTCAAAAAAAAAAAAAAATTAATGAAAACAAACATGGGCCTTGTTTGGGTATCAATGACATCAACTATGAAAGAGCAATGAATAGAAATTGGAAATTATATTGTCAAATAGGATTAAAATAATAAAATATGTATTTTTAAATCTGTATAACTTACGGTATTTGAAAGAATGAAAATCAGGTTGATCTATCACAGTGGAAATAAAACACATAAGATAACTGAATTTTACTACCAAGGTCAGAAAGGATGTCATGGCAAGGAATGGGGGTGGATGGATACAAATACCTGTTATTGGTTTTTAGGTAGATCATAGCCAGTGCTAGAGTAGCACCTGGACAAGTCACATCCACATTTATGGTATCTCCTTCCTGTTGAAAGAAAAGTTTATTCATATAAGAGTTCTGAATTATTATAAAATTATTTTGAATACTAGCCTATGCTTAATAATTAACATATTTACTAATTACCAGAATGAAAACTAATATTTTCAAATTAACTTCTTAGCTTCCAGAGTTTCGATCTGTTACTCTGATTTGCACTTACTTTGATTTGATAACTTGGAGATTTATGTTTCTCCCTGTGCATTCCTGTTTGGAAGCGCCTATGACCTCCAACCATGTACTGATAAAGCTGCTCAGGCACATTGAGATCAGAGATACCTATCAAATTACTGCCATGCTGGAAAATAAAATAACAGACATGTGAAAAGAAATCTCACAGAAGATTCACAACACATACCGATGTCAAAGGAATAAACTAACTTCAAAGCAGGGTATTTTGGGTTTTGCTTTGGTTTGGTTCCAATTGAAATAAACATTAATCATGAGTTAACTAATAATAATTCTCATAAAAGTTATAATGCATGTATGTTTATGTACTTTCATTTCATAAAATACACAAGGCATAAAAACAGATGGAATTCATTACACTTTACAGTAAAGGAAAATATTAGCTATGTAATTGAAACCTGAACTATAAACACCTGAATATTTTCATTATTATGCCTATGTACTTTTCCAGCAACAACCACTATGAGGATAATAACTTACTGAAAGCTTGCTCTATGCCAGGCACTGTTCTGTGTACACAGAATACACATATTCCATGTATTTAACATGAATTAAGAACTCTATCACTTAGCTACTAGTAAGAACCCCATTTTGTAGATAAGTAAAGTAAGGCACAGAGGGATTAAGCCCAAGGTGACATAACTAGTAAGTGGCAGGGCTAGACATAAAACAAGGCAGTTTGGCTCAACAGTCCATGGGGCTGCTTAACCAATAGCCAATGAAGTTAAATGACTTGACTCACTAGCCAGGACCAGAATTAAGATCCCTATTCCTAGTACAATGTTCCTCTATAGTACCACCTGCCTCTATAGCTCATGTGCCAAACGTGAAGTCAAAACAACAGACAGTCAAACACAGGGTGGATTTTCAGAACACACATAAGAAAAAACT